ATTTTGGTTTCTTGCTAATAAAGTGCTGTGACATTCCAGTTAAGCTTGTCTTGGCATTCGTTACTGGACAGAGGAGGAGGTCAGAACAAAAAAATATCTTGTAGAATTTCTAAATTGATTGAGAAACACAGAGCTAATATACCTCAACTTTTACAGGACTTTAAAACTTTTATCAAATATAATATTTGCAAGAAACATGCATTCAAACAATAGATTAATGAATAAGGACATGGACATGAAAATTGTGCATAGAGAAAAATTCTGATAATTACAGGAGAAGCATGTGGGACTCGTGTTTTACTACAAAGAGTAAATCCGATTCCTTCAGATCCATTACTTCTTTAATCAGTTCAGAAAATAATTTTCAATGAATTGGATAGCAGTAAACATTAATCAAAGACAAATCTTCATTTATTTCCTCAACTATAGTGTTTACACATGGGCAGTTATACAGTATATAGGAATGTCTGGAATCCAGCCATTTGGAAAATAAATATGCCATATATCCATGGAAGGGATTTTTTTAGGTAAAAAGAGTTACTTTGATTATACTCTTCAGAGAACAGTATGACAGTATATATTTCTGAAAAATAGAGGATGATTCAAGGAAAAAAACAGAATTCTTGGCAAGTCAGTATAATAAATTAATAAAGTAAAACCATTAATTAATGAAAGCATCCAAAAATCTAAGCAATTTTTCACCATCTCTTTATTTTAACATTCCATTGTCTCAAAGCACCGATGCCAACGTAGATACTTTCTTCATGTTATTTCTAATCAAAATCCTTCTCCCAAGTTTTTTATGCTACAGTTTCACCAGATTCTCAGTCTAATGTGGCCTAAGTATCAGAATCACCAGATACAGAATTACACATTTGCCGACATAAAATTGATCAGTCACCCACATGCTTGGTTTGCTATTTGTGCTATGTTGTAAGTTGCTCTAAAAATAATAATTATAAAAGAATTCACAATATGTTGGCTAGATATTAAGAGTTCTAATGTGAAGATAAATTGCATATTGCTTAATGGACAGTTGAGTAGCTGTTAAGTATAGCTCTTCCAACAGCACAAGCTAATACTAAAATGGTGCTTAGGCTTCCTGGCTCTCAGTTTGAATGCATGTAAACACTATCAGGTGTTATGGGAATGTGTTCTGATCCCCTCCTCCGTCCAGTAATGACTGCCGAGACAAGCTTAACTGGAATGTACTTTAATAGCAAGAAAC